TTGTCTCCAAATACCCTGGCAAAACAATCAACAAACAAAATCCAACACAAAATATACAGTGAAAGTGCTTGTGCAATGAAACAGGTAGATCTCAAATGTCTTCTTCCCACAGCACCACAGGGTATTAACTGCAGTAGAATCACACCTTAAAATTTTAAAGAAAATGTTTATGATGCAAGAATTCTAAAGTGACAGCTCATATGTAAAGGTAAAAGAATGAACTTCTCAGAAAATATGTAGAAAATATGTTGTGTCTGTATGTTTCTATAAAGAACTTTAGTTCTTCTAATGAAATAAAACTTATAAGTTAAAAAATAAAGTATAAAGAAACTGGAGTTATAAACAGTCTTGCAGGAAACACTGAAACTCAATAAGTATCAAGTTGCCAAACTAGTGTAATACACATTTACACAGAAGTAGCCAACTCCTGCAATATATTTATTGAGTGAGGTGTATAAGGTATAAAAATAATTGAATAACAACAAACAAGTTCTAAATTCCCAATTTTTATAGACCATCATGAATGAGAAAGCAGAAGAGACATATAAAAGCATAATCAAGTTCCAATTCAGCATAGCATTCAAGGGTAATGAAAGGCCAATATAGGCTCAAGTAAGTTTTTCAAAATTCTAAATGCAAAGTAAGTCTATTGGATATTTTTTTCAAGAGTATACTTAAGTTCAAAATATAAATATATAGAGTTTAAAGGGTGCATTTCTGTCTGGATAGGAAAGAACTTCCTACCCATAAAAGTAATGGGAGAAAAAAGGCCTGCAATTGAAGAGAGTGACAAATTTTATCACGTAAAAATTAGAAACTCTTGGGTATGAAAGTATGAAACAAATAAAAGGCAAAAAAATACATGAAAAATATTTTATAATATTGTTGCAGATAAAATGTTAAAAAGGTCACATAAATTAGTAAGAGAAACACAGACGTACCAGGTACTATTAATATAACTTCTTTTCATTTATCCTTAATCTTGATTTATCACAGAACCAAAGTATATAATCAGCCTGATTGAGATCTTTAAGTAGCCTTTGCTTGTTCTTTCTTTTTGTCTTTCAGAAATGATCCCTTTATTTTCCCACTGATTTCTATGAATTGGATTTTTGAAGCACACCAAATCTTCTAGTTCCATTTCCAAAATTAATTTAACCTTTTTTCCCTTGCATTATTTTTTATTACATGTGTCCGTTATTTTTTTGAGTGTGCCAAAATTAGGTCCTTAAGAATAGAGCTAATAGAAATGGTGTTTTGGTATGGCGCAAGTGGAAACATCAGTCATCTAGAGCTAACATAGCAGAAGGGAATTATTTCCTTCTGAAAGCATATCCTAGAAACAGGTGCTTATTTCTTACATGAAAAAAAAGAGATTTTAATATTCAGCCTTTTTTTCTCATATTTCTAGTGTCTACTGTGGCATTTCTAGATGTTTCTTTAGAGTGTGACAGAAGTAGAATTACTGTGAAGCTATGAAACAAGTTTCAATCCTTCCCAGCACTCCAGGCCTCTTACAAGGCCCTAGAGAGGCTTTGGCAACGTGTTCATGTAATTTTTTGTTTTTGCCAACAGTGCAGAAAAAATACTTGAAGTGCAATTCTTCTCTTGGTCTTGACACTCTAATATCCCCTCATGCCCAGCGTCACTGGAGTGTCAGGTGCACTGGGAGACTCCATCTCAGGGGATGCTGAGCTCGGTGGGCTGTGTTTCTGTGGCTCCCAGTCACTTCCTTGCCAGAAGAAGTCACTGCTGGCTTCCCAGTATAGACAGTCATCCAGGACATATATGAGGGGTCCCCAGTGTCGGGCTAGAAGTCATGTTGCAATATGTGTCCCATATTTTTCCGGCACCAGGAATATGTGCATAGTAGAGGACAATGAAAAAAAACATGGGGCCAGAACAAGTGTGGAAATTTCTTCTTTGTATTGGTAACTTAACTCTTTAAATAGAAAACTTTATTCCCATCAATGACTAGTCAAAGTTTCTCTCCTGTCAAAAATACATTCAATAATACATCACATGTAATTATAAATGACCCTTTCCTTTTTTATTAGAACTTCACTGAGTAAATTTTTTAAGACTTCCTGTGTTGGTAGGGAACACACCTGTAGCAATACAGCAAACAGCAACTTTTCCCTCTACATGAGCAAGTGTGTTTTATGCACCGTTATCCCCTCATGAGCCATAGCACACTAGCATCTCTGCAGCCTCTTGTCCTGACAATGTCTGCTCGTTCCAGGGAATTAGCATGCAAACGTTTGACTGGAAGAGCAAAAGAGCCATTGAATATAAGTGTCATTGACAAATTTCCTACACACACTCATCAGTGGTCAATATACGCAGTGGAAAACTAACTTGCTTATGAAAGTGTGCTATTCCAAGCAAGATGAAGCAACTTTTGAAAACCTGAATTGCTCCTGTTATCATTTATTTTCAGATTACTTTTATACATTTGTTAGAATTATTGATCACAACAAAATTCAGAAAAGAATTACACTTGCAGTCTAATATTTATTAATAAATTTATTTCACTACATTTTGGAGTTTGCTGTGGTGTAGCATTTGTTAACTTTTAAAAGTTTATAGAGTTTGTAATTAGTCATTGTAAATAAGTACTAGTTACTGTTCTTACTTTTTATATTAATTTTCTTAAATATTAAACTATAAAATAGATATTTACTTAGGTGAAGGGCTTCCAGAATATTGCTGATGATAGCTCAGTGTTAGATTAACAAAGAGCCTATGCCCTATGAAAAGACAGAGCAGAATAATTTTTAGAGCTGCAACAAAAAAAACTGAAGTCCCCTTACATCTTACCCTTTTTTCTATAGTGAATTAAGTGAATACATTCCCAACTCTTCTTTGTAACACACTACTATTATTTTACTTCAGTTCCCTAAGTTATTCTAGTACTTGATTAATACACATATGACATACAAAAGATGACACACATATTAGCTTTGTTGATTCAATAGTTGAAAATTCCACCTGTAAGTGCCCTAGTATGAAGAGCTAGATTGCTCAAGAATGTGTGCTAATCAATCATATTGAAGCGACCCCTTTCCTGAATTTCAGACTCATATAAAATGCCAACTTGAAATCTTCACATGGAATTCAAATAGGCATCATAAACTTAGCTTTTAATTTCTTGGTACCAGCCAGTGCCAACCCCAGTGTCCTTCAGCTCATTAAAAGTTCTAGCAACTGTGCAAGCTAACTACCAAGGAAAAGGCTCTATGTCCTCCCTCTTCCCCACCTTCCACACCCACACTCAATCCATCACTAAGTCCTATTAGTTGAAACATCAGAATATATTTCTAGTACATCTTCTCCTCTCCATTTCCATTGCCACCATCTTAGGTCAAGCCACCATCATCTACTTTGTAGACGAGCATTATTTAAATTTTTAATTCACATGCAATCTAAAAGAACATGAAAACCTATGTATGCTTAGCATACACCTGAGTTGACATTTTAGATATTATCAGAAATTCAATTGGTCAGAAAGGATACCATTTCTAAAATACCATAAATACTGCATTTTAAAATAAATATTTTTTATTTTATAGCAATTTTACAACCAGCACCATCAATTTTAAAAAAAATGGTGAACAAATAATTCATTAATGTTTGGAAATTTTATTTTGTATCTTTCTTTGGACTTTTATTTTCATCCACTTTCCCTCAGAAGTTTAAACCACTATAAAATTGCTTACTGATCAATACATCATATGTTTCTGCTAAAATATTTATGTATTACAATCAATTATTTTTGTAACTTCTTTGATCACATGATCTAAAAAAGCTCCAAATTTCTTATTATCATAATTGTTATTGATACACAAATTGATCAAAACCCCAATGTATTAGACATTTTGATGAAAAATAATAGTTCTGAATCATTGGCACATAGTCAGTGGAAGGAGAATTACTCTTCAAATTTTTTAATCACATGTGAATTCCTTTCACTGTTTTCTGGCTAACTCCAAACAACAAAGGCAAATACCACATAAATACCTGTGGCTGGTTCCCTTATGAAGAACTTATAATATTAAATTATTTTTAGAAAAATTACATGCAACCAAAACTTAGTAAATATAGATTTTACCTCTATTACATAAACATTTAAATTAGTGTAAAGTCTTAACATTATATTTTCTTGAAATTCATACTAAATATCATTGATATGTATAGCATTTAGACAGTAGATAGATCATATGTAGTAGTTTCATATATCAAATGAAAATAAAAAGAAATACTGGTACAGATCTTTCTTCTCTTAATTTTGAAAACAAAAGCACTGGCCTAATTTTCCACAAATCTCATGCCCATATTAATTAAATACAAATATGTATGAAACTGAATAATTCATTGTAAAAAAAGAAAGAACTTTTTATATCCAAGCTTATTCATAGAAAATGTAGGTTATGTTATTGTTTTAGTTTTACAATAATTGCATCATCAGTGAGCCATGACCTTAATTTACCCAGCATCCATGATGACCCTTTTAAAAATCTTCTACAATGAGTATACCTAGTTTGAAATCTGAAGTGTTTTTCCCAATATTTAAGATGAATTTTAATTGAAATGTCAAACCACTCCAGTGAGGAAACAGCTAAATGACTAATTTTAAAAGTATCTAATCTCCAGGTAAATAGTTTGAGGTAATTATTAGAGTGAAAAAATACCTCACTCCTATCCCCACAAACCTTGGAAGGAAAAATAAGGTAAAACATGCAGTGGTCCTGTAAGCTAGGAGAGAGCTATCATAATGCAGACACTCAGAAACGTAATAGATACAACTCCAATGGGTTCAGTGTAAAGAAGTCCTCACTTGCTTGTTTGGAAAGTAAATTACAAAAGAACTAATATGGCTTTAGAACAAAAAGGAAAAAAAGAACATTCTTGATCCCAGAATGATATCCTGTCTTAGAGGAGTCAGACATGCAGGTAGAGCAGGCCTGATCCACAGAGATCAGTTGTTTCGACCCCAGGATTGGGGGAGCTGCAGGTGGCCAGGTGTTCTCTATGTGCAGAAAGTCTTTATCTAGCAAGAAAGAAGAATAAGATACAATGTGTCATGATACAAGATAAGCAGAATTGGGCTGAATTTAATTCTCTCCTATCAGCTCTTCTTGGTTCCAGCTGTATCCTTGCTCTTCCCAAGGTTTAGTTGCACCAGATCTTCTAACACATTTTGCTTTTGACAATAAATTGGTTTACAAATTTCTCTCATCTTCAATAAGGAGAGTCCTACCTGACATATAGGAAATACCAAAAGGGAATACCAAGTTCAAAGCATGATAAACACCAAGAAGAGGCAAATATTCATGGCAACCTTAAGTTCCTGCAATAAAAAGAAAATGTACCTATGTCCGTAGAAGCAAAGCCCCACAGTGCTGGGTGCAGAGGTTGGCACTGTAACACAGTGATAACCAGACAGTTTTTCTCCTCATGGAGTCCATATTTCCTAGGAGAAATAAATGATTAAATAAGTAATGCCCATACATTAAGAAAAGTGCTAGGGTATGAGAAACACAGAGTGATGTGGGAACATAAACAGGGCATCTATATACAGGGAGGAGAGTAAGGAGCTAACAGACATTGAGGAAGAGTATTCCACGGAGAGTAAAGATAATGTGTGATTGCTCAAAGGTGAGTGAGGATAATTCATGCCAGGACCTGAAATAGTTTATAATAGATGGATTAGAATTGGAAGAAGGCAGAAGTATGAAATAAGTCTGAACAAGTAAGCATTTTTTAAAAATATGGCTTTATTTGTAGGTTGATAAGAAAGTGTTGTGTTTTTTTTACACTAGAAGTATTATTATGGGGTTTTATTTTAGAAAATCACTTCATCCACTATGGGAAAAAATATTAAAGGTGATGGTAATTACAGATGGTGAAATTAGTTAAGAAGCTGTCACAGTAATCCAAATGAACTGACCGTAGAAGTTGAATTGACAATTGGAAGTTGGTGTTTTGAGGGAGTGACAATGAAGGATGAGTGAAAAAATGATTCTCTGGTTCTGGTTTGGCCAACAGAGTGGTGGTATTTGCTATGCTGTACAGTGATGTAGAGAAGATGTGGGGAAAGATAAATGTTTCAGATTTAAGTATGTTGATTTTGAGGTACAAGCAGGCATTTAAGTTGAGATATCTAGTTTGGAGATAGCAGGGTCAGAGGCTCTAGAGAAATAGTCTTAGGAAGCCATAATGTATTTAATAGTTTGATAGCTCTCAATATGAGAAAGATGAAGCAGGTATTCATAAATTTGAAAGAGAGATGAACTGCACAGGTCACCTCCCCTGCAGTGTTTATTCTATGGTGGCACTTTCTGAGTTGGCCCTGCCCCTGTCATCTGGAGTGGAAATGGAGTTGAAAAGAATTGGAGTGTCAGTTGATCAGTCCTAAATTCCCTCCGCAGTAACCGGGTGGTGGCCTCCAATCGTTTTGGAGCTGGTGGGCTGTACAGATTCCAATGCTCAGCTCTAAGAGAGGAAGGGAAAGAAAACAGCTAAAGGGAGGAAGGAGAATGAGCCCAAGGGGCTGAGGCACCTCCTGCGCTCTACTAGCCTTATTGCTCACAGAACTTGGATTTACTCTTAATGGAACCTAAGACCCCAAGGTAATGTGATATAGCCAAGGGAAGAAACTTCTCATGAGGTTAATTTGCCACAACCAGGTATGTAGAAAGGTTTCAGGTAAAGGTTTATGAATGTCAAGGCCTGCCTTAGCAAAACAATTGTCTTGCCAAACAATTCTCACAGAAGCGCTAGACCGCAGTCTGAAACGTCTGTCAACCACAGTGAGCCACAGGCTGCCTTTGAAGACCAGAGAATTTAATAAGTCAAAATGACAGATTCATGCCACCTGACCAGTATCATTATTCCTAAATCCAGGCTAGGTTCTTACAAAAGATTTCCCAGGGTTATGATCAATGATACATATAGAGGAGACTCTCCAAAGAGACATAATGGTCATAATGGCCGACAGAAGCCAGTGAGACAGTCCTGGAACTGCATCCTGGGACTGGATCCCAGGACTGTGTCGCAGACTGGACAGGATATTGGTATGGCCCATGTCAACTTAGTTTTTCAGAGTTACTCAGTTGTTCAATAAAAATTTTGTTAACTTCCAGTCAGAGGTGGGTAGGATTTCTTTTTGTTTTTGTTTTTGTTTGTTTGTTTGGTTTTTTGGCCATCGTGACCAAATGGTATGTTATAATGAAAAAAGTTTCAGGTCAAATTCTATCAGACATAAAATATTTACCATTAAGTAGGAAATATCACAGTCATTCAACCTATTATATAAGCTCAATGAAGTCCAGTTCTTTGAACTTTTAGCTGATATGATAACAGATATCTGACAACACAGGAGTTTTACCCAGACAGCTGTTAAAATATGCTAATTGCAGAATTTAACTTTTTTTTTCCTGATGGAGACCTAAGTGGCTAAAAGCGGGATGAAGGAATCCTAGAACCTGAGTGTTATGTGAGTGGTATGTGCTCCAGAGTTCATCATGTTCTTATAACTTGTTAATGCAACACCAAGAGTGTTTGCACAATTCTTCTAGCCAATCCATCTATCTTAAACATCATGCTTTCACCAATGAAAATCAGTTTCTAGCATTTCCATGCTGTTTAACAACCATGTAGTGTTTGAGGAAGATAAAGACAGCTGTAGATTTGGAGCAACCTGGTGGGAGTTGTGGACTTAACAGCTTTGGGTTGTTATTATTTAGGTTTATGCTTTTGTTTGTTCTCAAAATGTTAACTAATCAAGCAGTTTTCAAATAAGTAGTCACTGGGAGTCTGTATTTCAGACTGAAATCTGCACTAACAAGCTTCTGCTATTGTGTAAATTAAAGTAAACATATATTTCATATTATCTATGTTGAGGCATTTGAAAATAAATTACAAACAATGGAACAATTAGGTTGGATCACAAACTTTCTGAGTATCAGTTCCTTTATCTTTAATAGTTTGAAATATCCAGTGGCAATAGAGACAATAAGGTGCCTTAGATAGGAACTAATAGACGTTTTTGCTCTTTTTGCTTATATTTTAGAGCAATCAGTTCCATAACATATTTCCAAATGCATAGAGTAGATTACATGGAATTAACAATTTATCATTTATTAAGTACCTGCTTTATGCCATTCTCTCTAATCCCCATCACAAACTTGCAACATAGGCCCTGTCACTTTCCCATTCCCAGTAAAGATCCCCACACCATGTGTCATGCCTGTCCTGATTTGTGCCAGAGCATCTCGTCTTTGAGGATAAACCTTGTTCAGTAGAGAGGGCAAGTGCAGGCTTTGGAAGTTTCAGTATACAACTATAGTGACTAAGGTGATTATTGTCTCCAGTCCTTTGTGGCATGAGGCAAGGACTACGTTAGTTAATAGCCAAGAGTACTGCAGTTAGAATTAAGCACCATTTTGGTTTTGTTGATGTTAATATAGCCCAGCACAATTATGGAATATTCTAAAGCATGGTTCAGCCATGGTTCCCACTTCTATCAGTATAATAAATGGCTTGCAAATTGTCCTATGCTTTTTATCATTTAGGGAATGTTGATCTGCAATGTTAAAGGAATTTAGAAAAATACACAGGGCAGAGGTATTGCTCAATAACTTAATGTTATCCTTAATAAGTCAGATGTAGTTTTAAAAAATAATCAAAAACAAGAGAAATCAAATGGTCTTTAAGAGTTCACGTGCTTCCTCATACTCTTACCCCAATACTAAGAATGATTTAAGTAGATCCTAGACAAAACCTTAATACTTATTTAATGGACTAGTCATTTACAGATTTTTATAAACATCAGACATTTTCATTGTCAGATATCTCTTAAATCAGATTTTATTTTAAAATATCTATCTATTCTCTTGGAGATTATTTAGCTATCTGAAATGAGAAGATAAATCAAAGGAGAGCCTGAGGATGTGTATAAAATGTTTCTATGTCAGAAAGTATCCCAAACTTTTAAAAAAGTACTCTCTTTACTTCTAAGATGATTCCATCTCTTCTTATCTTCAGGACTACTTAGGAGCAGAGAAAGAGAAAAATCAAGGATATACAACTGGATTTGGCTTCCATGGACACACCATCTGTCTCTCTCCGCTCTTTCCATTTTTGGCAGCACCGTGGAGCGGAGCTTCCTGGAGCAGAGCTGCGGCCTGAGCAGGTGTGCGCCTCCCAGTCCCAACACCCCCCAGACTTAACTGTTCTAAGACGAACCCACTAGAATGCACGACTGTTCAAGTGCTGTCCCCAGCAGGTTTGAAAACATAGGGACCACTGTATTCCGTTTACCTATTTTTCTCCCTAAAGTCAATAGGTTTCCAAATCTACAAATGAAATTCATGATTTAGGACTTTAATAACTGCTCTTTCATTGTCTGGCATGTCACACAGTGAGGGATTCTGATAACTCACAGGGAATATGAAAATAATCTGAGAACTCCCCACCAGCTTGTCATCCATTGCAAACATTTAGATGATGTCAGAGATGCAGCAGTGGGGTGTGCCTGTGCCCTAATGGGGAAGGTCACCACAGCTTAGGATGGAAGTCAGCTTTCAACTTAACATTTTATTGAAAGTGTTTTTTTTCTGATGATTCACTGGGATGTAAAGTGCAGTTGAAAAGCTGTGTATAAAACATGCAGGTTTTTTTGCCCCATCTGTCCCTTAAGAAAAGTAACCGTTTTCATTATCCAGCCCCTTCATTGTTTGTTTTTGCTACTGTTTTTATTGGGGTGACCATGGACCAGGCATCAGGAATTGGGCTAGAAGTCAGGACACTGTAGTTTTTTGGCCTGGACTCCACTGCAACGTGCTCATATTACACTGCTTAACTTCGGCCTCCAACAGATGACATGCCCTTGCCTCCCAGAAAAGTTCTCGGAATTCATGAGAGATCTTTGATGTGTTCTTCAGAGGGCTCAGGTTTGTACTAGAAAGAGAAAATATATTCCACTTGGAGAAAATCAGAAGAGCACAATAGATTTTAACTTGAAAGCATATTAAAAGGCAGAAACAATAATAGAAAAGCACTAGATATCTATCACAGGCAGATGGACTGAGTGAAAGAGCACACATGCCCCAGTGAAACAAAGAATTGCTTTAAGTACTTTAATACAGGGCCTCAAGGGTCTGTCTTATATTTCACTTGCATAATAAATATAAAACATTTATGTTAAAAGCAACACCAGCTTATTGTTAGTGTTTTCCTTCCTCCCTTATTTTTCCCCAAAATAAGAGATCAGCATGCATTTATAAACCCATTTTTAATTAGACATATCCAATATTTATTTGATCATTTTCTTTGAAAAATGCCATAAGCTCCAACTCTGAGTCACTTTCATATTTAAGAATCTGATTCTACTACAAAGCAGAAACTCTTTCTTCTGTCATTTTTGATCAAATGGGGCCATTAGATTTTATTTACTGTGCTGGTTTCTTTCCCAGAATCTGATTTTATAATTCTTGTCCTTTCTAACCACGTGAAAATGCAACTTTTGACCTTCCTTCCCTAAACTTTTTTTGGATGGGGAGCCCACTGCATGTGATGGGTAATTTCCATGGCATTGAAACTCAAAAGCTTACACACAGGGAGGTCAGAGTGAATTTGGAAATTCAATTCACTTCCAGGATTCAGATATGTCAGGTTGTGTGTATGTGTGAGTGAGTATGTTTGTGACTGGTATTGGGGGGTTTTAAGTTAATATCATTCCTTCCTGCTGTTTGGAAAGAATGTAGTCCGATATAAAGTCTGTGTTTTCAACCCAGACTGTATTGGCCTGAAAATGAATAGAATAGTAAGCAAGCTTCCCATTAAATTCAACTTCCTAAGATGCACTGGCAAACAAAATAAACTTCAAAGCAAACTACCATGGCTTTCTCCCAACTTTGCCAACTCACTTTACAGGCAGCTGAGTCCTTTGACCTTTTAATTTCATTTGCAAAGCTTAATTGGGAGTATCTAAACCATTCCTGATTTAACATCACCAGACTGTAAATTATAGCTAAATGCAGTGATTGGATCACAAAAATAATGAAGCAATGGTCTTTGAAGTTTGGCTGTTAATGCATCTCAATCAGTAAGACTTCAAAGGGGCAAGCTTGGGCCTCTTGATTACCTTTGCTCACCTAGCCAGCTTCTTGGTACAACTTCACAAACAGGTAGGCTGGGGGGCACTTGTGATCTGTGAAGGAGCACACATCCACATGTTAATATTCAGACTTCAAAACAAATGTGCTACTGTCAAATCAATCGACATGAACCACAAATTTCTGTTCTTAAAAATGAGTGAGCTCCCTTGCTATCTTTTTCTGTTTGCATCTAATTAGCTTGCAAATATTAGCCATTCTGCCTCTGAAATGTGAATATTTTTTCCATCAAAGTTCCATAAAGCATGATTTAAACAAAGAATTTTAAATTATTATTCCTACCCTTAGATACTCTACTCTTACTCTTTTCTCATATGCCTGCCCCCTCACACACATACTCCCACACCTACCCCTCTCCCAACCCCAAGGAACAAAACTACACTGACAATAACTGGGGCTTTGCTTTTCTATTCTTATCTGCCTTTTCATTCTTGAAAAATCCTGCTAGCATTTAAAATGTTTGATTATCCAACAAGATCACTCATTTGGTCTAGTTAATTGTTAAAGGATGGAAGAGTGTTAAAAATTATTCCTAGCAAGCTTTAAATATCCAGAGGTTCTCCCTTTAAAGACCAACATGAGAATGTGGATTTCATGTTCAGAGATATATTTAAGATACTTAAACATGAGAATAAACTCCCTGGCAGTTAAAATCACTATCCAAATGCCTGACCTAGACACTTTATAAACTGGTCTGCTCAAGAGGGTTTAGGTGAAATCTTGTCTGGAGGCTGTGGAATGAACTGCACAATCTCTTAAAGTCCCAAGGAGTCCTTTGATTCCACATTAAGGAAACCATAGACCACACACAGGCACTTTTTATGACATCCCTTCCTTGAATATTTGCTTTCTTTATAGAGCAGATGGGAAGACAGAAAAAAAAAGTCCTCTTTATCATAACAGAGCCTTACAAATGAAAATGATTTTACAATGGAGATAAAATTACTACAGTAAAAGATAAAATATTCATATTTATCAACTTGACATTGAATTCAGTACAAAGTTAAGAATAAAGAATAAGAAAAGTTTAAGGTTCTGCTTTATTTTGTGTTAGAATATTTATCTTCCCCTCAGTTACTATACCCAGAGAGAACATTTTTTTTCTTCTAGTCAGGGTAGTGGAAGCATGTTGCTCATGTTTAGTCTGTACCATTACAGATTTTATGGTCTGGTTTTGACTCACAAGGATAATTCCAAATAAGGAATCATAAGAATTTATAAGCTCAGTACTGTGGAACAAACATATGTTACATTCAAGCAAAGGAAACAAAGTAGGGAATTTCCTTAAAATGATTAATTCATGGCTGTGCTATTTCTTGTGGTTCAAGAATGATTTCTAAATAGGCCTTGGAATGAATATAATGAGCTTCCTTCTGTTTCTTTGTAAGGGTCAAGAATCTGATGATGTCTTAGAGTTTTCCTCACAATAAAGAGCAATTCTATTTATGATAATCAAAAACATCTTTTTTACCCAAATATTAGTATTAAGTCAATTCATTGAAAAGACTAAACCAAAAAGAAGTAAGATTATCTTAAATGATGCCCCTACCCTCTTCAGAAACTTTCATTCAGAAATATCCACTCCACTTTACCTCCTTCAGGTCAATCTCACTACACTTCAATTGTCCAAAGGTGCAAAAGTAAAATGTCCTTTTTGTCTTTGTGTTTCTGTGCTCCCTGTGAGTCCCTGGCCTCTGAGTACTTGCAGTCACCTGAGAGTGATGGGCTTAACAAGATATAATCTACACTCATCTTAACTAATGAATATATAAAAATAATTATCATCATTATTAATAAAAGTAATAAATAATATAACTGATTGAATCCCTATTCAGTGGCAGGCATTCTGATAGGTACTTTATCAAAATGATTGTACCCAGCTCAAAATACAAGCCTGCAAGATACATATTGTCTGCATTTCATGTAAAAGAAAGCTGAAGCTCAGGATATTGAAACATCGGCAAATTGTAAAATTTATGCAGCTGTCAATGGCGGACCAGCGATTCAAACCAAGCTTATTAGTTTTAAAGTCTATGTGATTTTCACTTCAAACTTTTCTATTTCCATTCAGCATGTAAAAATGCTAGATTCCTAAACAAAACCTTGGTCAAACTTTTCTCCTGAGCTATTTATTTTCTTTTCTCCTCTTCTCTTCATAGTCAACTTTGCTAACATAATTTTTTCACTTATTGCCTCTCCTTCTTTACCTCATTTTCATTGTAGTCCAGTTTGATTTAGTTTCTCCCACCAGCATTCCACTGACACTTCCCTGGCTAATGTTACCAATAACTTACCAGTAATTTAGCTGAGCATCTAATGACCATTTCTCACACCTTGTCTAACTAGACTTATCTCCAGCATTTCGCACTATTGACCACTTTCTGTACATTCATCTCCTTCCTTGTTAAGGAGCTCCTTTCTCAAATTCCTAAACAGCACACTTTTCTGCTATTTCTTTTACTTCTGAAATTCAGTCTACTTTTTATCTTAATCTTGGATCATTTTCTTCTGGTTGTTTTACGAACTCTTCCTTGGTGATCTCATTAACGAGTTTCTACTACCAAACTAATAATATCTAAATCTTCATGTCTAGCTCAGTCCTTTCTCTCCAGTTCTACACCCACATATGAAAACCTCTTCTTGAGTTAGCTAATTATTTTTTTCCATAGACACCTCAAACTCAACAAGTTTCAAACAGCATTCATTATTATTCTCCCTTATCCATTCTGAGTTCCCTACCTAAATGAATGAATTCAAGTATATTCTGGATGCCCAATACCAAATCTGCTCATTATCCCACAGACTTCTCATATCCCAAATATCTAGTCACCAACTCTGGTGCTCTCTCAGCGATTTTACCAATTTACAATCTCTTAAATAGACCTCTTCCTTTTCCTTCTCATTGATGTTTCTTGACTTCAAGCCTAAATCTGTGGAGCACGTCAGAGCATCCAGGCGAGCAGAACTTCTTCGCTGGTGTTCTTGCTTCTATACTTGCCGTTTTCTCATTGCATTCTGTACAATGCAGCTTAAATCCTGTGTTTAAAGTTTTCAATAGCAATTTTTATTTTCTTCATGGTAATATTAAAAATTTTTAGAATAGCATTTATGGCCTAACATGATCTAGCTTAGGCCTTAGCAAGCTTTTTCTGTAAGGGGCTACACAGAAAATATTTTAGGTCTGAGGGCCTAAGGACTCTGATGTACTCAACTCCACTATTGTACAAAAAACTACAAAGCAAATGTAAATAAACAAGTATGGCTGGGTTTTGATAAAATCGTTTTTATAAACATATTCTTCAGAGCAGATTAGGCCAGCAGTCTGGAGTTGACCAACCCCTAATCTAGCCAGCCGCAACCTTATTTCTTCATATTAACCCTCATCTTTCCCTACCTCTCATGCTATTCTCTAGCCAACATAAATTATTTTAGTTTCCTCAACTTGTCATACTTTCTCTTGCCGCTAAGTCTTTGTGCTTGTTGTTCTCTCTCTCCTTCTGGAAGAATATTCTTCTGAACCTTTTCTAAGGATATAATTCTTACTTATTTTTCAAAATTCAGTTTAGATATAACATCTTCAAAGAAAGGCTTTCTCAGCTTTTCCCACAGCAAATTCCTTATGTTATCATATAAATTTTCACACTCTGTTATAATCATCAATTTTGTTTATTTTTCCTCCCACACTGTTGTGGTATTCCTAAAGGCAGGGACTGTAGCTTTTATCTCATTCCCCAAGATCTCCAAACACTCTACTAGAAGGGATATATTATACATTTTTTGTTAGTGAATTAATTAATATGCACCACTGTGTGTGTGTGTGTGTGTGTGTGTGTGTGTGTGTGTTCAAATCCATTTGTGATCAGAGAAGATGAGGGGTGAGGATTTTCATTCCTTGCTTAGCAAGGAAAGCTGTTTGTAGGCAAAAGACAACTGGCTGTAAATGTTAAATCTCCGCATGTAAGCCACGGTCAGTTGCAACAATACAAGACCCTATTGGCCACCATCCTTAACTCTTTCACTGAGATGAACTTTCCAGAAAAAAAAGAAAACTTGGCCTGGGCTATGAAAACTAAGCCATATGTCCCACATTTTGGAGAATTTTCAAAGATCAAGATTCTGTTTCTAAAAAAAACAGGATCTGTGGGCAAAAAAATCATCTCTAAAACAGAAAGATTAATTTTGAGAATAGCTAGCATTAGAGAACATAATAGGAAAAAGGAATCTTTAGCCAGTTAGTATTAAAGAGAAGCATATAAAGTAGAAAAACAGGAGCAAAACTGAGAGCAAGCTAGTGTGAAATATTTTGATCAAGAGAATACTTCTATACAAATTATTTTGATTAGGAAATGTATTTGTAACAGGGCAGTGAATTTACTTTGTTTCCAAATAAAGATGTTGTTTTAGAAATGTTATCACTAGATAGACAGCCCTGAAGTAAAGGTAATACTTTTGTTATACTGCTAAGAATAAAATATCTATGCTCTCAGTTGCTATTGCAGCCCTAACTTAGCTGGTTTTGATTCCAGAAGCTTACTTTTATATCAGCCACATGTTTTAGACCTCATCTGTTAATAATGGTGTTGGGGTGTAGTGTGTATTGCATTGAGAGCTCTGATTTTGTGCTGGACTATCTTAGCAGATGCACAATACCATTTTATAACTATATACAAATTACTTAACTTTTTCTGTCTCTTTTTCCAGGTAATAGCAGTTGGGAATCACTGGGATAATATTTCAAGTCACATTATATGCTGGGATCACTTGTGTCAATGCCATTACTTTATGTAATACAATGAAACCACTGAACTGGCAAAAATTCATCTGGGATTCTTCCCCAGTTGAAATGATAACAGCAATAATAACAATAACAGTCAGAGCAAAAGTTAGTAGAGAGCTTACGGTATAGCAAACGCTCTCAACACTTTACAAGCACTGATTTGTTTTAAAACCACTCATTGGCTCCTCAATATATGGAGGTAGTTATTATTATTGTCCCCAGATGAGGAAATTGAATTACAGAGA